ATTGATTAGTTTGAGTTCTTTGTGGATTCTAGTCATCAGACCTTTGTCAGAAGCATAACCTGCAAAAATCATCTCCCATTCTGAAGGTTGTCTGTTTGCTTTACTTACTGTGCTCTTGGCTGTGTAAAAGCTTTTCAGTTTGATCAGATCCCAGTAATGTATCTATGGTGTTGCTTCACTTGTCCAGGGGATCCTCCTCATAAACTATTCTCCCAGGCTGACTTCTTCAAGTGTTTTCCCTGTACTCTCTTCTGGTATTTTTATAGTTTCATGTCTTAAGTTTAAATCTTTTATCCAGTGAGAATCAATTTTTGTTAATGGTAAAAGGTGTGGGTCCAGTTTCAGTCTTCTACAGGTCACCAGCCAGTTCACCCAGTACCGTTTGTTAAATAGGGAGTCTTTTTCCCACTGAAGGCTTTTTTATAGACTTGTCAAAGATCAAATGACGATAAGTGTCTGGGTTCATCTCTTGGTTCTCTATTCTGTTCCATAAACCTACCTCTCTCTTTTTGTGCCAGTACCATGCTGTTTTGATCATTATAGATTAATAGTATAACCTGAAGTCTGATAACTGATTTTTCTTTCTGAGTAATGTATTTGTTATTCAAGGTTTTTTTCTGATTCCATATAAAATGAAGCACTATTTTTTCAAACTCTTTAAAGTGTGACAAGGGTGCTTTAGTAGGGATTGCATTAAATCTGTAGATTGCTTTTGGTAGTATGGACATTTCAACAATGTTGATTCTTCCCAACTGTAGTATAGTATATTTTTCCATTTGTTAACATCTTCAGCTATTTCTTTTCTCAGAGTTTCATAATTCTCTTTATAGAGATCTTTCATGTTCTTTGTTAGGTGAATTCCCAGATACTTCATCTTCTTTGGCACTACTGTAAAAGGAATAGAGTCCTTGACTATATCTTCAGCTTGACTATTGTTGGCATATACAAAAGCTACTGATTTGGAAGTATTGATTTTGTATCCTGAAATGCTGCTGTATTTCTTGAGTTTTGTAGTTGAGTCCCTGGAATTTTCTAGGTATAGGATCATATCATCAGCAAAGTGAGAGTTTGATCTCCTTTGACTCTTTTTGGATACCCTTGATTTGCTAGCCTCCTCCCTAACCCCCAGCTGTATCATTCATAACTGTCTTAGGAACGATGTCACTGCTGCTTTCTCAACAGCCTATAACTAAATGGTTTGCTACTTTGCTCTAAGGTAAAGTAGTAGTAACAATCATGATATGTTTTGAGCTTTTATTATTTCTTTATTTTGTAGGCAGTACAAGTTTTTTTTTTTTTTTTTT